AGTAGAAACTTTGATTAATTAATATGATTTGTATTATTTAATATATAGAATTTAAGAAATCTCTAATAGCCTTCAATTTTTCATCTTACAACACCTTTCTAAACAAAGAGTTATTTGAATAATTAATTATATCTTAATACTAATTAATTATTATTTGCCAAATGAAAAGAAAAACATACAAAAAAGAATATGAAGTTGAATCTATTGTGGAAAGGAAATTTGATGAATAAACTAAAGCCTATCTCTATTAGATTAAATGGAAGGGTTACCCACATTCATAAAACACATGGGAACCAATAGAGCATTTATAAAATCCACATGTTAAAAAAATGGTCAAAGAATTTGATTAGGCACAAGAGACAACTTCCACTAAAAAATAAATTAATTTAGAACTCCTTAAACAATGTCTGTTAAAGAAACTCACAGACTTTTTAATTAAAAATGCGCCTTAAGAAAATGATTTACAGGAAATTATTTTAAGTGATTTCAGCATATCATCAAATGAAAACAATTCCAATAATAAAATGCCCAAATTCAGAGAAGAAACGAAAAGTTCCAATAAGAAACCTCATTCATAGTTCTAGAATGCTCTAAATTCTTTAAGTTCAAATTCTTGAGTTATTTTAACTAAACAATAAATTATTATATATTTATTTTATAAAATGATAAAATTATAAAATTTGTAACTAACTATTACTCATTTACTTATTTATCTCACTTAAATATATTATAGTATGTCAAATTCTATATCCTATTTTAATTAGTTTAAATGATATTATGTAGTTTTTTTTCAAATTATAAAAACTTAACCTTTATACAATATAATCCCCTAAATATTTATTTTCTAATAACTCTAATAATTAATTTATTTTTACAATAAGAAATAAAATATTTTATAATTTATGTTAGGGAAATCCCAAAGAGAAGTTGTTAGTTCATTGGATCTGAATACATCAAATGTTACTTAATAATAAAATCAAATTGTATTCAATGGAATAATCTTAAAACCTAATTCCCCAAGAACTATTTAAGCATGTCAGAAGTTAGGAATAGATTTAGGCATTTTCTAAATAAAGTAAAATGATATTATATATTTTTAGAGATCTTAACAATTTTCGTACTAATGATTGTTACAGTGATGAAATTCTATAATTACGATATGAACATTACGTTAATAAAACAAATTGTAAAGATCAACATTATTTTAGAATTATTGAATGAAATATTTTAGAAAAGAAAAGAAATCATACGAAAAAATAGATAACGTTAATTATAATGTGCTTCAATTGAGTCTCTTGAAAGATCAGTTTCTCTTAAATAAGGTTCTACTATTGATTAATTAGAGTATGTATTATATTTTTTAAATATCTCTAGACTGAAAAAACAAATGGATTATGCTTATAATAAAACTTTATAATATTTGTAATAATAGGGATTAGTTGAAGGAAATGTTCCATAAATGATAGGGGAATGTTAGGATGTTGCAGAATTGGAAGGGGGATTAAATAAAGAATTATCAAGATATAATAAACATAAAATTTAGAAAATAGTATTTAATAAATTTATCTTAGAGAGAAGCTTAAATTAAATTAGAAGAAGATAAAAAAAGAGTTGAATTATTAGAAAAAATACAGGAAAGAGATTAAAGAATAGTTCAGGTCATGACTAAAAAATAATAAGAAATGAAGGAGAAATATAGTTCAACTAAGAGAGCTGAAAATAAAAGAATAGATACTTAGGAAATGGAGATTAAATCTTAACCTAGAGAGAATGAATCACAAAAAAATATATAATAATAATTGTAAGAGTAAATTAATATTAAGAAATAATGAAATTAAAAGTAAAATGTTATTGAAATGTGATGATTAAAAAGAGAAGAAAAAAAGAGAATAAGTTTTATTAAGAAAGGAAGAGTTTGAAAAATAAATTGATATTGATTGTCAAATGTAAATGGCTAAGATACAATAAAAATTAGAAAACAGCGAAAAAATATAAAGAGAATTAATCTAAAATAAAATTGAAAAAATAAAAGAGTAAAATCTTAAAGAGCAATAAATTATGAAATAACAAAAATAAGTTAAAGACAAGATATCATAAGATCATATACATTAACTTTTAGAAAAGATGGTGTAAAAGGAGAAAGAATTTTAAATAAATTAAAAATCAATTTTAAATATAGAATAAGAAAAAAAAATAGAAATTAAATAAAAATAAAGAAAGATTAAATCTAATTAAGGAGATATTTTTAAAGATAGAGAGTAAATATAGATTGTAGCTTTTTAGTGAGAAATTAAAGTAAATAAATGAGAAGTTTTTGAAGATAGAATAATTTAATAAATAAAAAAAAGTAATTAAATTAATCAATTTAGGAAGAATAGGATTATAAAATTTTATTGAAATAAGAATTGAGAAAATTAAAAGAATAAGATAAATAAGATATATTAGATAGATAAAAAAGATAAAATGAATACAGAATGTTAGAGATTACAGAAAAATACAAGTAAGTAGATGAAAAAAACTAATTAAAATAATATTAAAATGTATTATTTTTATTTATAATATTAGACTCTTTTATAATAGACATCTATGTAAATTAGCAAATAGGAAATATTGGAAAGAAATAGAATCTATTCACATTTATAGCAAATGAGTGATAATCTATTTAATAAAAAAGTTAGAAAGCGAAAGTAATGAATAAAATAACAATTTAGTATAAGTCAACTAGAATAAAATGTCCTCACTATTAAACCTAAAGTAAAAAATTAAAAAGAAGACACTGAATTTGAAGATCATACAAGATTATTAATCACAATGCTCTAAACCTCTGATGCTGAAGAAACTTAAAAAATTAAATAAAGTAAAAGACAAAATTGATGTAATTTTTATTTTCTTTTATTTTATTTTATTTTAATATCTAATAAATTAATTTATGAATTTCACTTTTCTTTATCATCATTTTATATAAGATCTTAAATAATTTTAGAGTCTTATGCAGTATCTGAATTATTAAATTATTCTATTTTTTCATCTTTCTAATCTAATTTTTAGTTAATAAATGTTTGATCAGATTCATTTTTATTGTTTTGATAATTAATCTTTGCTTATAAACTAAATTATTCTTTTATGCCTATTTTAGGTTCAACATAAGAAAATATTGGCTTTTTATTTGAAACTATTTATTTTGGTATTGGTTCACTCAATAGTTATAATAATTCTTAAAATGAAGCTCTTTATTTTTCATCATGTTCAAGCATTCTAGTTAAGATATTTTAAATTCTTTGATTTTAAATGCCTTTTAATAAATTATTTGTCCTAATTTATCCTTATTCTCCCTAAATTACCTAAGTATAATTACAGCATTTAATTTTTATATTTCAGAATTAAGTAACAATGTTGTTTATAATAAAGTTATACCTAAAGAATAAACATCAGACTTTTCAACATTATGAACAATCTTATTAATATTGGCTATTTAGAATTTAACAGATTCAAATGCTTTCCATAAAATAGGAGATAAATATGAAGGAGTACCTACTAATGTTCCTGCAATAGTTGGTAATTTTTCTTTCATTAATTTTTTAGATACACCAAAATCTGATAAGAGTATTTATAAACCACTAGATTTAATAAGGATGTTTTCAGGTTTTATATCTCTAAAACTTATAAAATTATATACCTATGATAAATATTAGAGTGTAATTTTATATCATTGAGTGTTTATATACACTATAAAAAAATATGATGTAATTAATCATCAGGAAAATGCCTTTATTAAGTAATCCTCTCCTTTATCTCTGTCATTAAATTTTTATCAGCTAATTCCATAACTAACACAAGAGTATAAGTTTTAGTAATTTAATTTGCCCAGGCATAACTCTATCATTTTTAATTATTTAGTATTACTTTGTATAATTTTATAATGTTAGGATGCTACTTAGGCAAACTTTTTAAAATCAAGAATTCTTTCTAAATTGTATTAAAGGATTTTTCAGTTTTAGCATCCATCATTTTTACTGCCAAATATTGACTCATAAACGGCACTTAATCTAGCTCCCTCTCTAATTCAGGGTTTATTATCCTTTTTGTTTTCATTTTATATACTGCACCATAAGTACCTTTTCCTAATAATTCATTCTCTTTATCGAAATCCTCTAAAAATTCTTATATATTAGGATAACTCATATATATATAATATATTAAAATATAATTAATCAAACATATCGTTTACTTGTGATTGGATCAAAGTAGCAATTTAATATGGATCATCTAGTATTTTTACAAAAATTTCTTAGATATCTCTCTTATTTTGTGATATTATATTTTTGAGCCAATTTATTTTTCAATCAAATTATTATTGAAAATATCAATTACAAATTTCCAACATGATATTCTTTAAATTATTATCATCCTTATTTTGTAGTTGCAGATTTTTAGTAATTTTTTTCTTAATGTTATTTAAGATTTAATATGATATTCTTTAGAAAATAAATTTAATTTTACATTAAATTTATAAGAAACTTTATTGCTGTATTTATTATCAAATTCAATTATCTGATTAGTTCATCTAAATTATTTAAATAGATTTCTATTTTATACTTAATTTATTCAAATATTTAAGAATTCATTTGATATCCTTATCATTTCTTAATCTTCTTTATTTTTCTATATTATTTTCATTTTAATTTAAATTCACTTTGAACTAAGCCATTTTAATTTCGATATTTTGAAACCTTTTTAGATTCAAAGTTAACTTTATACTTTTTTTAATATCAGATTAAATATAGTTCACATTATTTAATTAAGTGCATTAATATTCTATTTTAATTTTTAGATTAAATATCATAAACAGCTCTTCATCATTATATAATGAAATAATTTACTTTTAGGATTACTACCTTTAATAATTTAATTTATTTAAATGATTAAAAGAATTAGTACTAAACCAAAGAAACTTTAATTCTATAATAAAATAATTAAAGTTATTGAAATAAAAAAATATATCATATTAAAATACTATCGAAATCTTCATTTAATAAATGCTTATTTACAAAGAAACAAGGGAATATCTTATCTCCATCAAAAATGATAGCTGCAAAATACCAAATGTTATCATCTTTATATAATTGTTTACGGAATTCAATTAATTATATTTCTAATAGCATCCTAAATAAATTGTAATTACAATCAAAAACCTAATTATTTAGGAAATTACCAAAGAATTGCAGTTTAAAAATCATTAAAAAATAATACTGAATAAACTCCTCCAAATTCTAGAATAACTACTATAATTATTCTAATATATTTTATGAATAAATTACCTTAATAATTAATTTTTTATTAAAAAACAGTTTTTGATGTTTGATTTCCTATCTAAATGAAAAAAAATTATCATCAAAAGTAGATTAATGAATATTAATAATTAAATCAATTCAAATCTTATGAAATCAATCAAAACTACTAAATAAGCTATCCAAAATATTCTTGATAATGAATTGATGATCTATATAATGATTAATACATTTATAATACAAATAAAATAATATTTTTAGGAAATTTTTATGTAATATCCTATTCGAATTATCCAACTACTAATGTTATTACATAAATCACTAATAATACTAATAAAACTATTATAGATATTTCCTCATAAATAGTAAATAATTCTATAACCAAAAAATTATAGTGTTGTAAGCATTATTAAAAATTTCATTTAATTTTCTTGAATAATAAGAACTTCATTAGGCAGAGACGGATTCTTAGCACCTCCTTCAACAACTGCATTTGCACTTATCATAGCTTTTTTTATAGTATATTCAGTATTTTTGGCTATTTTATGAATTAACTATTTATGAGATGGAGGATTTTGCTTAAAAAAAGATTTTAATTTACATCAATAAGGATATCTCTTTCATTCATAATTATAAATATAAAAAAATCATCATTCAAATAACCAATTAGATAATTTTTTTAAATACTTTAGATAATTATTACAAACTTATCTCAAATTAATCTAAATTTTTAGTTATACTATTAAGCATAGTTTAAATTTCTGTACAATAATTTTTATTATCCTCAATATTCTATAAAATATACTTATTGATTTTTGTACTTTACAAAATGAACGCTTTTATGTTAATTAATTGTTAATCATCACTACAGAATCATTGATAAATAGATTTAATGCTAATCTTAAACGTTTCAATTCTTCATACATATTGGATTAATTGTAACTATATTAATTAATACTAAAATACAATAAATATTTACTCTTAAGTATTTTAAAATTTATTTTTAATTTAGATTACTACATCTTTAAAATATTATTCCAAATTATGATAATCATTATTTTAAATAACTATTTATTATTACTATAAAATAGGTTCAAATGATTTTCTTATTTAAACAATTTAACATTTTTATGATTGAATAATTTCTTCAATAATATTCTCAATATTTGATTCATAATCATAAAAGTTTTCATCATTCTCATCATAAATTTGATGACTCACATATCTTTAAAGAATTTGATATGTAAACTTTTTAAGACTATAAATCTCTTTCAAATGTCTATTTCTTTTATCTTTTTAGGCTTTATTTATTAATTCTCTATATAGCATAATTATTTTACATTTTAGCATTTAATTATTTTATTTTTCCTTCTTTTTCTTATTCAAGCATTTCAAGTTTTTTAATTGTTTATTTTAGCTCCAAATTTGTAAAACTATTTTCTAATAACCTATCATTAAGTGTTTCAATCTAATTCTATAATTATATTATCATTCTTTCATATTCTGTTGATTCTGTTTAGTTTTAAATAGAGTATCTACTATCTTCACCATATCTATCATTTTCCTTTATCATTTATTATATTAATTACCTAAATATATGAATATTGAAAATCACCCATAACATTAATTATAAAAGAGAATTAAAGAAAGATTTGTATATGAGGCCAAATTTTTAGTCGATTAATGGAGGTAATTCTAATCTTAATCCATTAGATTAATTTTTGAATAGAGACACTTTTAAGATGGAAAAATGATTAAGTACACTCTTGATTAAGCTGCAGAAATTGTAGGAGTTTCAAGAAAAACTCTAGAAGATTATTACTATTGCTTGAAAAAAGCAGAAAAAATAAGTAAGCTATTTAACTTATAGAATAGTTGATATTATTTAATTTATGAATTGTAAAATGGGAGTAATCAGAAGAATCATAAAAGAACATAAAAAGCAATCAGATGAATAAAATATAATAGATACAAATTAATTCTTTGCTCTAGAAAATGAAAATAATGAGCCAAGAAAAAATAGTTTTGAATATGATGATTGAGTAACAATGATAATATTATTTATTTGTGTAAATTACCTACACTAAACAATAATAAATGAAAATAATTGTTTGATAATCTATATTTATTACTATGAAAAATACAAAGTTCCTCAATTAGATCAAAATAATATAAGAAATTTTTATTAAATTTCATCAATTCTTTGATTAATAAAAATACTTAAATTATCATAATAAAATGATATAATATTAAATTAAATAAATTAAATGAATATTCAATATTTGATGATCATAATATAATCTATAAAATTACATTGAAATAANATTCCAAATTATGATAATCATTATTTTAAATAACTATTTATTATTACTATAAAATAGGTTCAAATGATTTTCTTATTTAAACAATTTAACATTTTTATGATTGAATAATTTCTTCAATAATATTCTCAATATTTGATTCATAATCATAAAAGTTTTCATCATTCTCATCATAAATTTGATGACTCACATATCTTTAAAGAATTTGATATGTAAACTTTTTAAGACTATAAATCTCTTTCAAATGTCTATTTCTTTTATCTTTTTAGGCTTTATTTATTAATTCTCTATATAGCATAATTATTTTACATTTTAGCATTTAATTATTTTATTTTTCCTTCTTTTTCTTATTCAAGCATTTCAAGTTTTTTAATTGTTTATTTTAGCTCCAAATTTGTAAAACTATTTTCTAATAACCTATCATTAAGTGTTTCAATCTAATTCTATAATTATATTATCATTCTTTCATATTCTGTTGATTCTGTTTAGTTTTAAATAGAGTATCTACTATCTTCACCATATCTATCATTTTCCTTTATCATTTATTATATTAATTACCTAAATATATGAATATTGAAAATCACCCATAACATTAATTATAAAAGAGAATTAAAGAAAGATTTGTATATGAGGCCAAATTTTTAGTCGATTAATGGAGGTAATTCTAATCTTAATCCATTAGATTAATTTTTGAATAGAGACACTTTTAAGATGGAAAAATGATTAAGTACACTCTTGATTAAGCTGCAGAAATTGTAGGAGTTTCAAGAAAAACTCTAGAAGATTATTACTATTGCTTGAAAAAAGCAGAAAAAATAAGTAAGCTATTTAACTTATAGAATAGTTGATATTATTTAATTTATGAATTGTAAAATGGGAGTAATCAGAAGAATCATAAAAGAACATAAAAAGCAATCAGATGAATAAAATATAATAGATACAAATTAATTCTTTGCTCTAGAAAATGAAAATAATGAGCCAAGAAAAAATAGTTTTGAATATGATGATTGAGTAACAATGATAATATTATTTATTTGTGTAAATTACCTACACTAAACAATAATAAATGAAAATAATTGTTTGATAATCTATATTTATTACTATGAAAAATACAAAGTTCCTCAATTAGATCAAAATAATATAAGAAATTTTTATTAAATTTCATCAATTCTTTGATTAATAAAAATACTTAAATTATCATAATAAAATGATATAATATTAAATTAAATAAATTAAATGAATATTCAATATTTGATGATCATAATATAATCTATAAAATTACATTGAAATAATACAAAAATAATATTATATTTATATATATTCTATAAAAAAAAAGATATAAATTACAAATTTTGACTTAATGATATTATGTATGATTATTAAAGATTATTATCTAAATAATTGAATAATATAATATAATTAATTTGTTTAGGATTAATATTTAATATTTTATTTATTAAAGATATTCCATTTAGTTCAATTTTAACTAATTAGACTTTAACTATAAAATTAGAAGATTATGATTAATTTCAATTAATTAATACTATTATCAATTATCTATTTATACACAAACATTTGTTAATTATTTGTAAAAAATTGAGAAATAACATATAATAATTTGATTATTAAAGAATATCACATTTTCCTAATATATTTTGATCTATATATCAATTATCATTTCTTATTAATAATATTTGTTTCTTAAGAAATGATTTTAGATGATTTTATTCTTAAATTTAATAGATAACAATTATGGAAATTAAATTGACTCTATTTCAAACTATTTATATTAATCTATTAATCTATTTGAATTTAGACTATTTGTATTAATAGTTATTGTTGGAATTTATACTAATCTTAATTGATAATTATTAAATATAAGAAAATGAATTTTTGATGTTTTGTAATCATCAATAATATGCAAATCAAATTCTTTAGAATTAAATTACTATTATTTATTTGAAGGATTAGTATGTATTAAAGAAATTAATGATTATTATGAATTATTAGATTTGTTAATAATTTATAATTATAAGTAATTAATCCGTTTTTAGATTGTTTTTTACTATAAAACTAAGGCAATTTATCAATCCATTTTCATTAATAAAATGAAATCAATCATCATTTTGGTTTTGGTTGCCACAGCCTTTGCTACAAATTTAGCTGCTTTTGAAAAACTCGAAAAGAGCAAACTTGGAAAGACATTGTTGAACACAATTGCCATCCAAATGCAAACAGGTGAACCACTTGAAAGAATCTTCTAAACCCTCTATGATTTGGAAGACAGATACTAAAACGATTAAAGAGAAGATGATGCTGAAAACAAAGCATTCTAAGGTGTCTGTGATGCTGATCTTGCTGGACTTAACTAAGAACTTGCCAACCTTGAATAAAGAGATACAGAATTATAAGCAACACTTGATGAACTCCAACCAGTCCATGACTAAAAGGTCGGATAAAGAGTTGCCAAATTAGCTGAAAAGGCCCTCCTTTAAAAAGTTATCGATGAAACCACAGCCAAGAGATAAGAAGAAAATGATGACTTTGAAGCTTAAAGAGAAGAATTCACATTCGTCTCAGGTGTTCTTGCTGAAGCTAGAAGACTCTTCACAGACAACTTATAAGCCCCAGCTTTCTTATAAAAGGGAGCTAGCGAAGCTGTCCACTATACCCCATAAGTCTTTGCTTAAGTTGCTTCACATTTGAACGCTGCTGCTCACAAGGCTGGATAAATGAAACACATTAGAACCTTCGGAAAAGCCATCAAACTTATGGCTTAATTGGCTGTCAAAGCTTAATAATATGCCAACTAAGAATTAACAGGAAGAATCATTCAATTGATCGATGACTTATAAAACTAATTATAATAAGCTTTCGATTTGGCCAGAAAGACTGAAGATTCAAGAAGATAAGCCTTTGAAGCTTACAATACTCTCTTAAACAGAGATATGAATAAGCTCAACTCAGCTATTGCTAACTTAGAAGCTGAAATCTAATCATTGGCTGATTAACTCGCTGCCACCCACAGCTCATAAGATGACAACACCGCTAGACATGAAGCCAAGACCTAATAAAGAGATGACAGAAGAGCTGAATGCTAATAAGCTGCTTATGAATACTAATAAAGAAGATCTGCCAGAGATGGAGACAGATAAACTGTTTCTGACTTGATTGGTCATTTGAACACCAACATGAGAGATTTGAAAGAATACATTGCTATGAGAGTTGCTGCTGGTGATACTGATTTAAGCCAATGAGTATATAACAGTATATCATTTTTAAATAACAGCTTTCCATTTTTATCTTCTAAATTTAAGTTACTAATTTAAATTTAATATTTAAGTTTATCTAAAATCATTAATCTTTTTAATCTCTAATGATATGGATAATATTCAATAACAAAATCCTTTATTTTATAATTGTAAGCTTTATGATAATCTTTTGTAAACTTTTTTGTTAATTCTGATCTCTATTTTATATTTCTCTTCAATATTATACTCATGTAATTTGATATATTTTACTTTAAATCACATTTATTTCATTTATCAAAAATTAATTATTGTCATATTATTAATACTTTTGTATTCTAAACATACATAATATTCAAAAACAATAACTTATGCTATAGGATTCATCTTTATCACTCTCAATTTAAAATCTTAAGGTTCTTATTACTTAAATCATTCTTTATCAATTTCGAAAACTTTAATTCTTATTCACACTATTATTCTCTATAACCTTATAAAAAAGATATATTTTCCAATTCTAATATAAACAATTTTATTTATCTTTTTTTATGTATAATATTAATTTTTAGGAAATTAATAGAAATTTTATCAATTTTACAAACTTCTTTTTACATCCTCTTTGTCAAATATTACATAGAAATATATTAATCAAATAATAACAAAAAAAAATTATAATTTATGGACATTTTAGAACCCTTTTATAAGGATAGTACAAAAATATTAGAGCCTGAAAATGATGAAATAGATAAAGGATATCTCTTTTTAGGTAACATTAAATCAGCATAACCTTACAATCTGGGACCTAAAAAAATTAATGCTGTTTTGACTGTAACAAAAGAATCTAAAGTTGTTTATGAAAATCCAAATATTAATCATTTAAAATTGGATGTGGAAGATGTTGAAAATCAAGATTTATGTAAAATATTAATTCTAATTAATTAGCTTAATTTTTTGATTAATGCATTACATTTATAGATGAAAATTTACAAAAAGGAAATGTTTTGGTTCACTGTATGGCTGGAGTCTCAAGATCAGCTTCAATTGTGATAGCTTATATTATGAAAACTAAAAAAATGTCTTTTAGAGATGCCTTTTAATTAGTCAAAACAAAAAGAACAATAGTTTGGCCTAATGATGGCTTTATAGAATAATTGAAAAAATTTGAAATATATTTAAATGATATTAAATGAATCCATTAGATCAAAAAATAATATTTGGGATATCTAATAAGCAAGATTGTTTTTATCTTTTTTATGTAATTGTATTATTATTGTCTATTTTATTTGAATTATTTTGAATTATCTTTTAAGCTTCCTCAATTAAACTTTGTAATATTGGAATTTTTATTAAATTTTGCTAATTCACAATCTCTTATTTTTTAAATTCTATAGCTTTTGTTGATTAAACTAAACTTTGAGAAAATTAAGCGGATTTTTAACTTGATTATTTCTATATAGGTTAATCTCTTTCATTTTAAGGATTTTTTATTTAATCAATAAAATCTTTGGCATTTATTCTCTCATCCTTTTGAACTTTAAGTGATTATTTAATTAATGATTTCAGTTTTTAATCCTAAATATCTCTATCTACAATAGAATCTATAAAATCTTAGTCCTTTTTCTTATCAAGATTATCTAAAAGTAACCTTATTGTAATTACCTTATGTAAACATAAATTTTTCAGAGTATAGATTATATAAACTCATGCCTAATGACCATATATCACATGATTGATCAGTATTTATGGAATATCCTTAAATTTCTATTTCTGGAGGTGCAAATTGTGGTGTGGCTTCAATGAATAATTCTTAAGTTAGTGCATTATCAAGAGGTTGAATTGAAGAAAAATCACATAAAGCAAACTTAAATTTCTACTCCTAATCTATTTTGTAAACAATATTGTCTGGCTTTACATCAAAATGAATAAATTTTGAATTATGAATTTCAAATAAAGCCTCAGCTATAGTTTTAGCAATTTCAAATATATTATTCTTTATTTTTTCTGTCTCAAGTTAAGAGAGATTACCTTCAAAAAGTTCATATTCTGTATATAAAAAGCCACCTGCTATATTCTCAATTGGATATGTTGTATTTTTCCATCTAAAATTTTTCAGCTAATTCAAAAGCTCATAATTTGGTTTAAAATATCTATTTTAGATTCTAAGTGCAACATCTTCATTTTATTTTATTTTATTTATAAACTTTTCTGCTCTATAGACTTTAGCACTAGCTCCAGATCCTAATATTTATCCTATGCAGTATTCAATGTTTTAATATTTTATGATTCCATCTTCATGTGATACTTGCACCTTCCAATCATTTTACATTTCTATTACAATACTTCTATTAAAATTTATAAATTAATATAATTCAATTTTCTTTTATCATTATTTTCTAGAGAACATTATAATAATTTATATGATAATAAACAAACAAAAACTTATTTATTATAAAAATATTTATCCTAAATGGAAATCATTTGGTTGGCCAGTTATTTTAATACTAAACTCCCACATTGTGATGTTATTTTTAAGATGTCTATTAAGAGATTCCAATTTATGATACTCTTTAAAAATTTGGTTATTAAGAGGGGAGTTTATTTTAATTAACTTATTTATTATTATCTTAATTAAAGCTATTTCCTTGAATTGGTTTTTAAGGCTATTGTTTAATTTAAGTCAAATTATCTTTATTTTATTAAGAACTAGAATTATCTCCCTTAGATTATTACTATGCATAATTATACTATAGTGAAATTTTTTGATTCGGAATGTTGCCATTTTAAGGAATCTATTGATTAAAGTATTGTGAAACTGCCTAAATTTAATTATTCTCTTGTTATTATTAATCACAAGATTAATAAATATTTTAAGGATTATATTATTATGTGTTTTGGTTAGCCATAATAGGTACATGATTTTATTATTATTATTAAATAGTATTTTAATAATTAAATGGTTTAGAACTGACTTACTTTTGTATACTATTTTAAGGAAACTGGTTAATCTATAGATTTTTGGATTATATTGTCTATTGTTAATTTGGAATTATGTATTATTATTATTATTATTATTATTATTATTATTATTATTATTATTATTATAACTATTATTATTGAAGAACATTTTAATTTTTTTCTTAATTATTAAATGGTTAAGAACTAACTTACTTTGGTATATTATTATAAGGAATTATTCCCTATGAATTATTGGAATCTCTATAGTTGTTTTATTCCTATTATTCAAATTGTTTTAAATCCTATTAATTTTAGAAATTAGTTTAAGGAAGATTGCCCTTCACATTATTTAAGCCTGGCTAATTTTAAAATTACACTAGTGTGATCGGTTAAGAATTTCTTATATCCTAATTTGATGGCTCAATTTAAGCTCGACATTCTGGTTTTCTTGATAACATTGGATTCATCGTGCCTCTTATAAAATTTTATCCAGGCTGATTTTAAGTAGATGGTGGTGGTTAAGGAGAACGATATATCAATTTCTTAGTCTTATCTTCTTCATCAATATTTCTTCCTCGAGATAAGTTTAATTGTAAATCTTAAAATTTTAATTAACTCGGTGGAGGAAAATTAGGTGAAAAATTAGGTGGAAAATTAGGTTACTTAATCTTATCTTCTTAGTCAGTATTTCTTCCTCTTGTTTATTATTATTATTGCAATTTTAAATCATTAGGTTTAGGTAAATTATTAATTATTTTTTACTAGTTTTATTGATTAATGGGTTATATTAAACCATTCAGATTTGGAATTCCTTTCAATTATTGAATATCAAAATAATTCTTTTTATTGATTTGTTTTTCTTCATTGTTTGTATTATCAGGTTTCTCTTTTTGTCCAAATGTTGGCATATGAGTCATTTATGATGTTCCTCTCAAATCAGATATAACTTAATTAATATCATGCCTTTTTTGTATATCAATTTAAAGCATATTTAAAAGAAGAGTACTATATTTCCTTTCTATTTTCAAATTATTCTAAATTTTTTCATCAATTTGTTTCTAAGTAATACTTTTTATTTTGTTCCAAACTTACTCTTCAGAATAACCTTCATTTAAATCATAAATTACCATCAAACATTGGCTATCCAGTCAATAATTCGTAAATCAATGCACCAAATGCCCATATATCAACCTTTTTAGAATATTCATTTGATCCATTCACTTATTCTGGAGCAAGATAATAAGCAGTACCAATTACTTATGTTTTAAGTACATCAATATTTTTTATTGTGCCAAAATCACAAATTTTATATAAATCTTAAGTATGTCCGTTGTCAGTTATCTAAAATATCAATATATTTTCAGGCTTAATATCTCGATGAGCATAACCTAAATCATGAATTTCTTTTATTCCATTTCCTATTTCTTTCATAATGAACCTTATATCTTCTGCTTTGATTGTACCTTTACGTTGAAGCCTTTCAAATAAACTCTCTTTACAATATTCCATTACTATATAATACTTTCTACCTATTTGTTCAAGATTAAGAATATTGATTAAATTTTTAAATTTTTTTCCTTTCATTTTCTATAACATCATTAATTCATATTCATTTATGTTATCTTATTATTTTATTGCTACAGTTTATTAAGTTAATTTAGTTTATCCTTTATAAACTACTCCATAAGAGCCTTAACCGAGCATTTCTCTAATCAAGTAAGTGTTTTATTCTATTACTATTTCTTTTCCTTCTTTCATTTCTATTTCTATTAAAATTAATAAAAAACTAAATAAATATTATTAATCAATTCGTAGATTAGAATTGTCTATAGAAAATAATAAATTATCTATATTAACAAAAGAAAAAGATTTTTGTTAGACTTTTGTTTATTTTAGAATTTAAGAACTACTCTAATTATAGTTATTTAAATCTTAAATATTTTGTATTATACATTTGATTTAATATATCAAATTAATATAATTTAGATAATTAGAATGAGTGATAATAGAGTATATAATGATTAAAATGTATATAGTGTAGAAAAATAATACAAAAAGAATGCATAATTTAGAAATTAATTATTGATTTTATTTAATATATTCTTTTTAGTTTTTATTTAAATATTGGATATGCAACTATACAGTCTAACTTTACAAAAAAGCACAGGAATACAAAAAGCTATATACGGAAATTTCTCTGGACCAAAAGCACAAGAGATTGTTGTATCCAAAGTAAAGCACATTGAGCTTCTTAAGATAAATGAGAGCAAGTATAATGATGTGATATAATGTTTAGTGGTAAATTAGAGACAATAGCATCATAAGAAGTATTTGGTATAATACGTTCAATCCATTCATTTAGATTTCCTGGAGTAAATATTTAATAAAATTTTAGAACAATAGAGATAATTTAGTTATTGGTAGTGATTCAGGTAGGGTAGTAGTATTGGGTTTTGATGGGTTAAAAAATATGTTTGTAAAAGTTCATTAAGAAACTTATGGGAAAACTGGATGTAGAAGGATAGTTCCTGGTTAATATTTGGCATGTGATCCTAAAGGAAGAGCATTTATGATAAGTGCTGTAGAAAAACATAAATTTGTATATATATTAACTAGAGAAAATGAAAAAATTACTATATCTTCACCTTTAGAAGCACCTAAATCTCATACTATTGTATTTGATATTGTAGGGTTAGATGCTGGTTATGATAATGCTTAATTTGCAGCAATAGAATCAGATTATGGGGATTGGTAAGATAAGGATAGTGCAGTATGCACAGGTATTTAAACAAAATTCTTAACAATATATGAAATGGATTTTGGATTGAATACTGTAAGAAGATAAAGATCAGATCCTATTCATATTTCATCTCATTCTTTATTAATGGTTCCTAATGCTCCAGATGGACCAGGAGGTGTTATAGTGTTATGTGAAGATTTCTTGCATTACAGAGGTCCAAAGAATTAGGAAATGAAAGTACCATATCCCAAGAATCAAGGAATGCCTGCTGATAGAGGAGCAATGATAAGTTCATTTGGATTTTATAAATAAAAAGTAATTATTATTTGAATATATATTAGTCATCATTTTTATATTTATTATAATCAGAGTATGGTGATTTATTCGAATTATCATTACAATTCACTAAAGATGAAGTTCATTCAATAAGAATGATTTATTTTGATACTATACCAGTGGCTAATAGTTTATGTTTGATGAGAAGTAAACATTTATTTGCAGCTTGTGAAAAAGGAAATCATTGTTTCTATAAATATTAAAGAGAGGATATAAACACGAATATAATTTGTACAGATTCCAGTATGGCTTTGGAAGAATAAATATTCTTTAAGCCTTAAAAACTTAAACATTTGTCACTTTTATAGGAACTTAATAATTTTAGTTGTATTAGTGATTTAAAGGTTGCTGATTTAGCTAAGGAAGGCAATCCATAAATTTATATTTGTTGTGCTGCTGGTAATAGATCAACTTTAAGAGTCTTAAGACATGGTTTAGAAATAACATAATTGGCTAATACTAATTTGTAAGCAAAACCATTAGGAATTTGGACTTTAAAGGAAAGATATGAAGATCCTGTACATAAATATATTGTGATTTCATACATTAATAAAACATTAGTATTGAAAATTGGTGAAAAAGTAGAGCAAGTTCATGATACTGGATTGGAAGGAACAAAATAAACAATTCATGTAGGAACATTGATTGATGATTCATAAATTCAAATATTAACAAATGGATATCGTCACATTAGAAAGAATAAGCCTCCTACTGATTACATAATTGATGGTAAAGTTATTAAAGGTGTTTCAAATGAAAAATAAGTAGCATTTGCTTTAGCAGGAGGTGATGTGTATTATTTTGAATTGGATACTACAAGTGTTTAAGGAAATTTAATAGAGATTACAAAAGATTAAATGGATAATGAAATTAAAGCCTTAGAATTGGGTCCTATTGAAGAGGGAAGATAGAGGTGCAAATTTTTATGTGTGGCTTTGAGTGATTAAACTATTAGATTATTGAGTTTAGAACCTGAATCTTGTTTTGAAAGAGGAGCCATGTAAGCTTTGCCCAGTGAGGCTGAGAGTTTATGTATGATGGAGATGGCTTCTGAATAAGAAGGTTAATAAAGTTTTACTAAATAGTTATTTTTATTTATAGGGTTAAATAATGGTCTTTTAATGAGAACTTCAGTTGATCAATTGTCAGGAGGATTGTCTGATACAAGAACAAGATATTTAGGAACAAAGGCTGTAAAATGCCTAAGGATAACTGCTAATTAATAATAAGCGATGTTGGCATTGTCTTCTAGATCATGGTTATGTTATAATAATAGTGGTCGAATATTCATGTAACCATTATCTTATGATTATTTGGATTATGCTTCAGCATTCCTTGCTAAAGAATTTTAAGGTATTGTTGGTACTAATTAAAGTACTTTACGAATCATCATGCCAGAGAGATTTGGTGAAATATTTAATTAGTAGTCATTAGATTTGACTTATTCACCTAGAAAAATGATTTTTCACGAACCTAGCAAGGCAATATTCATTATAGAATCAGATAACAGATCCTATAACAATGTATAATAAAAAGTATAGGAAGTCTATTAGACTTAAGAAATACCAGAACAATGGAATTAAATTCAAGCTGAATAATATAAATGGGCATCATTGATTCGAATAGTTGATGCCACTAAATTAGAAACTATAAATGTTCATTAATTCTATGAGAATTAACATGCATGTTCTATTTGTTACATTTAATTTGCTGGCTATCCAGAGTAATATGTTTGTGTAGGAACAGTAAAAGATTTAGTAAATGAGCCATCTAGAAAATTCAGTCAAGGATTTATACATACATTTATATATGATAATAAGACATTAAAGTTAAAACATTCAACACCTATAGATGAAATACCTTATGCTTTAGCTGCTTGGAGAGGAAGATTATTAGTTGGAGCTGGATGTAATCTAAGAGTATATGAGATGGGAAATCAAAGAATTTTAAAGAAGGCAGAAATCAAAAATCTTAATTCATTTATCACTTCTATCATGGTAAAAGAGGATAGAATATATGTAGCTGAAGTGGCTGATTCTATTCATCTTCTTAGATATAATATTAGAGACTAGACATTTATGGAATTGGCAGATGATATATTACCAAGATATGTAACAGCAAGTACTGTTCTAGATTATCATACTGTTATTGCAGGAGATAAATTTGAAAACATTTTTGTTAGCAGAGTACCATTAGATATTGATGAAGAATAAGAAGAGCATCCTTATGAATATAAAATGAAAATGGATCAAGGTTGTATGAATGGAGCTCCATTTAAAATGGATTAAATTTGCAATTTTTATGTTGGTGAGGTTATTACTAGTCTCCAAAAAATAGCTTTAGTTTCCACTAGTTCAGAAGTAGTTGTCTATGGAACATCCATGGGGTCGATTGCTGCACTTTATCCATTTGATAATAAAGAAGATATAGATTTCTTCCTCCATCTTGAAATGTATCTTAGAGTTGAGCATCAACCTCTTTCTGGAAGAGATCATATGTAATTTAGATCTGCCTATGGACCTTGCAAAGTAAATATTCCTTATATTAATTCTATAGTCTATAATCGATGGAGATTTATGTGAATAATTTGGAAATATGTAATATAACAAATAGAGAGCTGTTGCAGAAGAATTTGATAGAACTCCAGCTGACATAATAAAAAAACTTGAAGACATAAGAAATAAAATTTTATGAATGTTTTTAATTATGCAATAATAAAATAAAACATTAATCATTACTTATTTATTATTGTTAAAAATATCAAAAAAACAATCTTTATTTTAGAAGTAATATTTTCAAATAAAAATTCAATTGGAACATAATAATTTTTTATTTTTAAAACAATAATTTGATTTTGATGACAGAGATATCCTTAGATAAGAAAAAGAAATTGTTTATTTTAAAGAAATTTGACAGTGTTTCTCCACTTAAAGAAAGAGAATAAACTTAAAATATTTTTAATGGTAAGTTTTATATTAATATTAAGGAGAGCAACTTAGATTTCTTCATGGTATTTTAATATATTCATTAAATTCTCAGTAGGTTAATAATAAACTTTACAATAAAGATAAATTGTTGGGAAGCTCGAATAATTTTTGAAATAAAGAGAATAATATGAAGCAACATAAAAACAACAAAATTCATAATTTAATTAGTCAAATTCTACAAAAATGTTTGCTAAGAGAATTACTCTTAGGAATTCTTCTCAAAAATCTCTATTAATCTGTTCTGATTAAAATCAAGAATAAAAATAAAAAAAATAAAAGGATTATTAAATAGTGTCTCAATAGTTTTTATTAAATTTTGTTAAAAAGACAGAAGTATAAAAAATAACTATAATAGGATAGAATAAAAATGAATAATGAAATTGAAGAAGATTTAAAAAAGCTAAATGATAAAAACAATTTGCTTAGATAAACAAGAGCTTTAACAAAATTTCAATAATAATAATAAATTTGGGAATAATAAGTAGAAGAAGCTACAAGGAAATCAAAAAAATATGATTATGATTCTGTAATCAGAAAATCAACTTGTAATAAATTTTATTTTATTTTAGTATTTCGTGAAAAAGTTGAATAAATAGAACATTTTTAAGCCTTAAAGTAATTAGAAGGTACTGCAAGGGCTTAAGAATGGTATATGACATTAAGGGATAATTTAGGATAATCTAGATAATTATCTC